TAAAATTTTTTTCATAACCACAGTTTTTCACGGCGAATCGAATGGTGTAAGCTTCAAACAAAAAAAAATTTCATCATGTTATGACCTATCAGGAAAATCCTCGATGCTGTCAGAAAGTCTCTCTTAAAAATTCACTGTCTTGTCTTTGCAGTTTGACATTGACAAACACAGTCAGACCGGCCGTGAATTCACCACTAAAGCAGTTACCAACCAGTGCTCTCGAAGGATATTCCGAGTGCCGAAAACATACAAAAATTTCGATGGGTCTCAGTCTCAGCCTTAGTCGCTCACAGTACGACGTTAATTGACCATTAGTTTCGAGATTCCTTAATGGATCCTGAACACTTGTTTTCGAGAACTAATTATGTGTCACCAACAGATTTAACAATGGAAAAAACAGACATATTTTGTAGCAATACAGAAAAGGTTCATCTTTTTGGTTTATATGCGTTAATTGTGACAGTCTCAGATGAGAGATTCAGAATGTGACAACTAACCGAATCTGAATCCAGTTGATAAACAACCTCCAAGACATGCTACCAAATTCTATGATTAGCCGAAATTCTGGAAATTCACCTCTTCCTGAATCAAATGTCACAAAAACCTTCAACATATAAGAGAGACAGTAGATTTCTCATGTGACGTAGTAAGTAATATATAGACAAATTGAAAGATAACATTTATTAAATTTCACTCTTTAATAAATGGTAACAAAACATTCACTGGATCAACGAGATCGATTTTTTCTCTTAAATAAGTGAGCAATGATTCAATCTCATTTGGTTCGCTGTTGACAACAAGTCAGAATTGAATGGGCTATCTTTTGGCGGCTTCAACGAAGTTCTATTAAACTACGGTATTTGAAGGTTTTCTCGAGTGAGAGAGAGAGATCCTCCAGAGTTTTTGATAAAACTTTGGCAACAGCCGACGTTTGTTCAATGTTTCAAGCGCTGTCGACTGGTATATATTTTAACATGTTCCTAGGTCTGTCTAAGTATGAATTACTAGAAGATGAAATTAAAAATTTTTAATTTTAATTCAGCAATTCACAATACGAGTTGGATTTTATCAAGATTGCAAAACAGAAAGAAAAAAGTAATACTTAAAAATGACATTGGTAGATCTAAACTGAAATTGGAAAATCTCTTTAAAGCTGCAAAAGCAGTACCGGAAACTCTGAAACCTCACTCCATAAAGATTGTTGATAAAAATACTCTTGAATGTCGTTATTATTCAACAAGCTTAAAAAAGAAGACCGCAAAATACTGACAGTAGATTCTTATAGTTGTTAGTTTGAAGAGTGGGTTCGAGGAAGATGCAGAACACGAGTTTTAGTTGTGAAAGCCGAAAAATATCTATCTGGAGGCCTAAAGGCTATCCAGTCAAATTCTAACTGATTTACGGTGAGAATACGCAAGAGAAAAAAAAGTGTGTCACAGCGTTACTTTAGTAAATTGGGTTTTATAAACTAAGTAATTAACCGGTGGCGCATAAAGAACCGGACTCGTTTGTTTTGCCTATAACTCCATCAGTTTCAATCTTATCGATCCAATTTTTTCTCCAAAAGATTCCCCATTCAATTCTCTACAAAACAATGTACTCGTTTTTTTCAGATTCTTCTACGAAAAATTTTTTAATCATGAAAAGTAAAGACCTCCAAAAATTGGTACTTTCCAAGCATCAAAATGGAGAAACACCCAGCAAGATATTTCGGGATTTGAAGGGTGCCATTAGTCGTACTCAGGTTTTTCAATGGTGCAAAATGATCGCCGAGACTGGCTGTATTGAACTGTCAACGTCTCCAGGTCGACCTCGTATTATTCGAACAAACTATACGATTCAAAAAGTTAAAAACCGTTTGAAGCGGAAGAAACGCGTCTCAGCTCGAAAACTGGCCAGTGAACTTAAAATTTCAAGAAGAAGTGTGCAGAGAATTTTGAAAAATGATTTAGGATTAACGTCGTACAAGAAAAGAATCGAACCACTACTCACGGACACTCAAAAAGCTAAACGAATCACGTTTGCAAATTGGGTTCATCACAATTTTTCGAAAGAACAATCTTTGAGAATTCTTTTTTCTGACGAGAAAATGTTTGATCTCAATGGTATGTACAACTGTCAAAACGATCAAGTCTGGGCTGTGAATCGTGCCGAAGCCGATAAGAATGCCGGCGTTAAACAAAAACAGCAATTTCCACAAAAAGTCAAGGTTTGGTTAGGCGTTTGTTCAGAAGGCGTAACTCCTTTGGTTACTTTGGATAATGGCACAGTAAATCATCAACGATATATCGATGAAGTACTTCCTGTGGCTCTAAAGTATGGAAATAACGTGTTTGGAGATGACTGGACGTTCCAGCAAGACGGTGCCAAGCCTCATATTCACCAACTTTCTCAAAAATGGTGCAATGATCATTTTCCTGGACTTATTGTCAAAGATCATTGGCCCCCGAATTCTCCCGACTTGAACCCTTTAGACTACTCTATCTGGGACGAATTTGTTCACCAAGTCAACTGGAACAAAGTTCAGTCAAAGACAACGTTAATTGCAGAGTTGAAGCGAGCTGTGAAACGAATTAGAAAAGAAGTTGTACTGGAAAGTTGTGAGAGTTGGACCAAGCGATTGTATCGTTTGAAAGAAAATAACGGAGATTATTTACATTAATAAAAGAACAGCTCTTGGTAGAGAATTGAATGGGGAATCTTTTGGAGAAAAAATTGGATCGATAAGATTGAAACTGACGGAGTTATAGGCAAAACAAACGGGTCCGGTTCTTTATGCGCCACCCGTTACTGTGAAAAAATATCTTTTTAGCAATAGAAATCTCGTTAGTTCCTCTATAAACTGTGCTCAAGACACTTTATTTGCTCTTCTAAATTCGCAGGAATTTGCGCTTTAATGAGGAGCAGTTAGAATTTAGGGCCTTTTTATGTCACAGCGGTACCGGTCTAAAAGGGTTTCTGAAAGCTCGAGTCTTTAACCAAAAACCTTCGTTGTTATACTCCAAGTAGAGTAAGAAGAGTCGCGTCGAATGGCGCACAAACGAACTTTCTAGCTCTTATAGTTTTCGAGATGGACAGCAAATTACTGTGTCAAAAATGTCACAGCATTACCTCTGCACAAGCCACCGGATCCATCCTACTAATTTTTTGAGATCCTTTGTGATATTATCCGATTAATTTCTAAAATTCATCTTTGATATTGCTTCTTATTAGACTTCAAAGTAAGAATACTTCTAATACCAATATAAGGTATGTCTGGTATTTTTTCAAAAGTCAGTGTCCTTGTTTCTGGAGAAGTTAATAGTTTTTCTGTTTATTATGGTCGAATCTTAAATAATTATTTAAGCACAACCATTCAAAGCTGATTTGTTCACTTTTACTTTACTTAGAAAGTATAATTTTGTATTTATGAATATTTCATTCATTTGGAATCATACTGTTTTCAAAAACAAACTAGCCCTAAGCATTCACAGAAGCCGACAAATGGAAAAAAAACAGAGTGTGCTTGTTTGAACCTGACTTGAGTCAAAACATACGTTCGCTCACTTTTTTCAAAACTGGGGTTATGAAAAAATTTTAAGGTCGGTTGGACTTGATTTCGCCGAGTTATCGAATTTATAAAATTAGGTGTATCGAAGATTTTCAAAAAAGTGCCTTCCGTGATATTTTGCCTATAACTTCGTCAAATTTTATCCGTTTTATTCGAATGATGTCTCATTCCAAAGTCCATCAAAAAAACGAACAAAATCAGATGTTTCTGAAGTTTTTCGACCAGGAACTGGACTTTTCAGAAGCCTACCATTTGAAAAAGGACTAATTTTAAAAACAAAACTTTTTCAATAAAGTGTATTTTTCTTCATCCAGTAGATTTCGCGCAAAATGTAAGTCAGTGCGTTTTGTAGAGCGCACAATTCTCTATATAATGAGCTATAAAACTTTCTTTCACAACCTCAAGAACATGTTGAAAAATTGCTTGCAATTATTACCATCAAAGTAATTATACTATCATTTTTTTTAAAAGTGCAATCTTTCATTAAAAAAAATGCACTTTTTACATTAAATTAAGTACGCTGATGAAGCTACAAGGCATTCCACATAGATTATGAGGGTAATAGACGACAATTGTGGCTTAGAGGAACAATTAATTTATCATCGCCGACGTTTTATGCCCTATGTACTCGTATACCATGTTCTTCAAACCCTATTCCAGAACTTTTTCAGAAAGGAATACGCGACATCTACGTATGTACATAAAGCAGCCTTCAAAAAAATAAGGAGGAGTATTATACGTCTCGTCAGACGGCTTGGTCCTATTTAGTAACTCGAAAAACGGCAATCAGAGGGCCTATAACACACCAGCTTGAGTTTAACACTCATAATCTATGTGGAATGCCTTGTAGCTTCATCAGCGTACTTAGTTTAATGTAAAAAGTGCATTTTTTTTAATGAAAGATCGCACTTTTAAAAAAAATGATAGTATAATTACTTTGATGGTAATAATTGCAAGCAATTTTTCAACATGTTCCTGAGGTTGTGAAAGAAAGTTTTATAGAAAGTTTTATACTATCGAAAAACTTCAGAAACATCTGATTTTGTTCGTTTTTTGATGGACTTTGGAACGAGACGTCATTCGAATAAAACGGATAAAATTTGACGAAGTTATAGGCAAAATATCACGGAAGGCACTTTTTTGAAAATCTTCGATACACCTTATTTTATATTCGGGAGTCACTTTTATAGAAAAACTCAAGTTCAACTTAAGTCGTTGACTTAAGTGAAAAACTAAGTTGACGTTAAGTTACACTTAAGTAGATTGACTTAAGTGTATTTAAGGGCTAGATGAATGCGTTACGCTGCTAGATTTAACATCACTATATGTATGTATGTCCGTCACACTCACTGGTCACTATATGTGTGCTTACGTCCGTCACGCCTCTGTAAGAGCAAACACACGAACACTTTGTACTTTTTCGTATGACCAAATTTTTTTCGGACTTAACCTTTGAGACATCAACCACTGGACAAGATGAAGTAGAGGAAACATTGAAGGTTTTAATATAAAGAATGGTGGTTAACGATGGACTGTAAAGCCTGAGTACATAATAATAAACTATATAAACGAGAGAGTTGTGAATTGAACCATCGAGAAGAGGATTATTGCCGTATATGCAACAGTAAAAGTCGACATATGGTTATTCAAACAGCGTTTACGGCTGTCGAAGAAGAGAACAACGTGATAGGAAAATACCGTAACGAATATAGTCGATATTATCGGTTTAGAGATCACTTAGCACTAAACGTATACTATCGTGAAAATAATCTTTTTCCTAAGTCCAAATCGATGTATCAAAACAAAATTTTGGTGCTGATGATCCGAGACTTAGGCAACGATGGTTAGATGTTATTCAAAACGCTAGTAAAGAGCTATTGAAATGCGAGGCACAAGCTATCGAACGAACGATTGCGGAAGCCGAAGCGAAATGTGAATTATTACGAGAGAAGTTGTGTGAAATGAGAGAAGAACGAGAAATGATGGATGTGGAAAGAGAGGAAAGTGTAAAATTGAAAGAAACTATTGAAAACTCATGGAACAAAGTATTTCGTCTAGAAATGCGAGAAATAACTCCTCGGAAAACAAGAAATGAATATGAATCGTTGGATGATGTGACATCTTCTTCGATACAAAATGTATTGGGGAGTAACGACCTGCTTAATACTGAAAAGGTAGGAGTAATGACAATAGAAAGTTTCATATTCAAAAGAATTATAGCGTGACATTTGATAGTGATACGGCTCCTAATAGGGGTCGATCTACTAGTAATTGACATGATTCACGTACAATTTCGGATGAGCTATTTAGAATTTCGGACCATGTATTTAAGATTGGGGTGTCATGCAAACTTTTCCTTTCCCGGAAAGTCATTTCTATCCGTGACCTGCTTTTTACGTAGGATATCAGAAAAGCAGGAATTCTATTGAATGCACATAGAGAATTCGCTTTTGCTCTCCGTCACACAAATTCCTGCAAGAAACCAAATCAGCTATTACACAAAATAGGAAATTAAATAGACAGGAATTCAGGAATTCACAAATTTAAGGAAAGCAGGAATTCAGGAATTCATAAATGTTAGAAGAGCAGGAATTCAGGAATGTAAGAAGTCAAACAAGCAGGAACGCAGAAATAACTTTTTCTCGTTGCCGCTAAGAAAACGTAACCGACGAACATAGTCAGGGCGTGGACAAAAGTATAAACACAAGGAAACACTCGTCTGTATTTGCACGGTTTCTTGACTCTAGGAACTTAAATCTGGAAACAATCTCCACATTTTGCCGTTTCTGTTCAGGCAAAATTCTGAGTAAAAATATGATCCGTTACATCAAATTTGCTGGATGGTAAACTTCGTATCTCATTGTCTGATCATGAAACGTATACATTTCGAAACGTCCCATTGTGTATAATAATAAATTAGACTTAAAGCTGCTGTAAATTGTATCATACTTTTCTAAGCCCGAAAACAGATGAGACTTCTATTTGCAGTTAGAAAGATATTTATTATAGAAATTGTACAGTTGCAACTCCCGACTTTGGCTCAAAAGGTTCAGTTTCCAACATAACTCACAATGCACGGAGATAACAACTAAGGGCAGTGACGTACTCTCACCTAGTCCCCTCCTCCCGCTCCCTCTTTTGTTAAAGGAATATGCCAATATAGTGCGCGATATCTTCGAATTTTGGTTGTTCTTTCAATGTCGATATTCGCGACTGGCATTGTCCAACCGTACAGTTATCCCAT